TCTGCGTAGGCCGTGCCCGTGCAGTGGTCGCCGCCCAAGTTTGGCCACCTGTCCAAGAACGTCTACTTGATCAAGAAAGCCGCGTCCGTCGAACGCCACGCCAACAAGTGCGCGTGCGCTGCTGGCGCGACGTCCAAGGTCGGCAGCTCGTCGCGGCCGATCGAAGCGCCTCGTAAGAAGGTCAAGAAGGCATCGCCCGCACATGCTTCAACCTACTGCGGGGACGCATGCCACAACAAGTACGACCATATACGCACGATTCGATTCCCAATGCCCGTCACTATGCGTAGGATGCTGTACATTGAGTGCTGCGACCAGACCTGCTCGGCGCCCGACCCCGACCTGTGCATGAACCGCCCGTTCCAGCACCGCCACTCCAAGTCTGTCCCTCCTACGCTGTGTCTTGTGTCTCACTGGTGGTAGAGCGACGCGGGTGCAGTACATGGCAGCCAAAGGGTTTGGGCTCGTGGCCGACGAAGCCATGGACGCCCAAGACTTCATCCTCGAGTACGTTGGCGAGGTCATTGACGCCGCGATGGTCAAGGAGCGCATGGCGGCGGCGAGTGCCAACCGCGAGGTGCGTTTGGTCTAATTCAACTTACGAATCAGGCAATTTGGTCAATAGACCCACAACTATATGCTCGAGATCGAAAAGGACATTGTGATTGACGCGCGGCTGAAAGGCAACGTGAGTCGCTTCATCAACCACTCGTGCGAGCCCAACGCCCGGGCCCAGAAATGGTAGATTGTCGCCTCTCTAGGTCGGCATGCTCAGTCGAGGACGTAGGACGTGCCAGGGCGTCGTGCGCATCGGCATCATGGCGCTGCGTCCGATCGCAGTGGACGAAGAGATCACGTTCGACTACCAAGTACACTTGATATCTCGATAGTTTGATATTATGCATGATTGTAGTTTATCCACTTTGGCGGCCGCAAGGTCCAGTGCCATTGCGGAGCACCCGGCTGCAAGGGCGTCCTTGGCGGCAACCTCCCGGGGTCCTCTGGACACAGCTCGTCGACGCCTTCGGACGCCGAGCTCTCGCACGAAGCGGCGAGCCAAAAGCTCTCGCGACCGCAAAAGTCGACGTCCCTCAGCGTCTTCAAGAACGCGCAGGTACGACCATCTCAGGATATAAACGAGATTATGACGTGGCATGTCCTCGTAGCTGCACCGGGACTGGCTCGCCAAGCACGGGGCGTCCAACCAACGGGCGTCGCCGCCGCTCTTCCTCGCCCATCGCGTACCTGACCTTGTCGACGTCGACTCGCACCACGCCACGATCCTCGAGCACCGCCGGCCGCTCGAAGCGGCGCGGGAGGCGGCGCCCGCGACCTTGGCGCTCGCGCAGCCGCTTGGCAAATCGTTTTTGGCCGGCGGCGTCCTCGACTACTCGGACGAGCTGCGCAATGTGCCCGCACGCCCCGCGCCGTGTGCTACGCGCCGCCCGCCGAGCCGCGTCAACCTCCTCGATGCCCGGTCCAAGCTCTTTGACGGTAGACCCCGAGTACGACGACGTTCGAGCTCACAGGCGGCGTAGACATTCGGCGGTTTGCACGGGGCACGTCGCGCTGGAACAAGCGCCTCAACATCACCCAAAACGATTTGGACACGGACCGTGTGCGCCGCCTCTTGGAGAACGTCGAGGATGGCATGAACCTCACGCGCGGCGACACGGTACGCTACCGATGCGTCTCGACAAGTCGTCTTGACGCGAGTACGTAGGCCGACTTGAACGAAGACTCGTGCCACCGGTGCGGCCAGACCGGCGAGCTCATATGCTGCGATGGGTGCCCTGCCGCCTTTCACTTGTCGTACGAAGCGCCGCCTCTGCACATGCAATGAGAGCTCATGCACGGGGTGTGTAGATGCGCGGGCCTCTGCATCGTGCCACCTAGCACGTGGTTCTGCCCGCCCTGTCGCCGGCAGCACGTGCCCCACGTCTCGAACCGGCACCGCGTCCAAGTGGCGCCGTCGATTTTCCAGCAGCAGCCGACGACGGCGCCAGCGACGGGCCCACATAAGCGGTCGCGCCGGAAACGCAAGGCGCCGTAGCAGCAGGAACGACGATCGTTGAACAGGATGTAGATTGTATTAGATGTCGTCCTTGACCGGCCCTTCGCACTTGTCGGCGAGGAAGCCTTCGCTGCTCTGCTTGGCCTTCTACACGGCGATAGCATCGCAGTAAGCATGCGACTATGGTGCAGAGGAAGCGTACCACGATGGCGGTCGCCAGCAGCGCATGCGGGCCAGCGTTGTTGGGCACGGGGAGGAAGCCGCCGTCCTCCTTGCCGCTGTAGCAGTGGGGCGTCGTGAGGCTCTCGGTCGTGTCGTAGAGGTTGTCGGGCGTCGACGGGTGCACGGCGAACTCGTGCACGAGCTCGCCCTTGAAGCGGATCGTCATGGTCACACCCGGCTTCATTTCCATCCGATCCTGGAAGGCCAAAATGGACTCGGCAAACGCTATTTCCAGAGGCCATACCACACTATTTCAGAATTTACAAATAGCAATAACTTTGTAAAGAAAAATAGTTTACAGTACACGTGAAAGCACAAGGAAGAAAGATAGCTGCCACTACTAGCAGTAAATACATGCAACATAGCAAGAAATCGTTGCAGGATCATTGAGCCCACGTCGTTGGTACGCCTTGGTAGCCTGTGAACGGCGGCCGCCGAAACTCTTGAGCGAGCACCGGATATTGTCCTTTGCAATTTAAATGGCCAACGACCTGTCAGAACCGATGTATATTATATTGTTTACCAGGGTTTTATCCGGTAAGTTCCGGATACGCTCGTCGACCGCTGTCCAACTCAAAAATTCAAATCCAAGATGTCGGGCCGACCGTCCCGGCCCGGGACAGGCGCGGGGACCGCCCCTCGGCAGCCGACCGCGCGGACTCGGAGGACGACCTGCGCAAGTGAGGCGAGGTCCAGCAGCCTCACGCGGCCGACGGTCGCGTCCCAAGCGCGAATCGTGACCAAGGCAACGCTGCCAGGCCAAGCGACGAAGCGGCCGATCACACTCAAGGGCAGCACCACGGGGCGCGTCCAGCTCAAGCCAGCTGCCCGGAAGCCTGCGCCGCCGATGAAGCGACCTTTGACGATCCCGAAGAGTCCCAACTTTGCGACGTCCAAGCGGCCACCGCGCACCAAGCCCGAGCCGGTCCCGCCGCCGCCCGCGAAACCGGTGCAACGCCGGCCCCATCCTCCGATGAAGCGTCGACTTACGATTCCAAAGAGCCCAGACTTTGCAACGTCGCACCGTCCGCCACGCGCGCGCGAGCAAAAGGTGAGCGCGACGACCCAGGAGCTGCAAGACATTGCCAACGAACGGCGTGCCATGATGCTCGAGCGCCGGCGCTTCCAGCGCTACCATCGCGCGACGCAAGGCTTGCCAACGAAGACTCCGACGCAGGGTCCGACCTTTGCGATGGTACAAAGCTTCATTTCACTCCGAAATACCACATGAAATGCGTAGAAATTGCGCTCGGCTGGCGTCCTCGGCGTCCCCGCCGTGCGTCGCCCCAAGCTCACGCAGGTGCACGAGTTCCGCTTCCAAACCGACGTCCGCGCTCTCAAGAAGGAAAAGGCCGACGCGGCCAAGCGCCGGCTGGAAGAGAAGGAAAATGCTGCCGACCTGCCCTCCAACAAGCGCCGCAAGTTTCGCTGACGTGGCTTGTACGACGGCCAAATTGCCGCTTCTTCATATGACATTTCTGTTGTTGCTTGTGAAGACAAAGGGTCATCGTGCGTCCTGTGGTCCTAGCCTTGGCGGTTGCAGTCTCTCCTACTGCATATCGCAGAGAGCGTTGACTGCCCGTATGCGTGGTGCCAAGCAGTTGCTTGGGCGAGCATCGCTGTCCGAGCCACTTGTGTGCATGTGCTGCAGCCCAAAAGAACGATGGGCCTCGTTGCTACCGTGCATAGTATAATAAGAAAGCGCTCTAGAGAGCGCGGAAGCGGCAGTCGAGAAGCTCGAGACGACGGTCGACCACCATCTCGACGTGCTTCGCCTCCGCGTAGGCTGCAATGGCAGCCTCGTCGTCAGCACTCGCACGCAATGCGAGCGCGACGTCCGGGCGACCTTGCACTGCGTCCAAAAGCGCCGTGATGTCGGTGACGCGGAGGGTGCTGGGGTTGATGGCGCTGGATTCGAGGTCGAACATGACCCTTGTTAGGGGTTGCACGCGGCGCCGGACGTAGAGCAACGGCGTCAGCAAGGCCAAGATGTGCTGCCGCTTGAACGAGCGAGTTGAGAGCACCGAGAGGCGGTCCGTCTGCCCGGCAATGTCTTCTTGGGAGAGCTCAAACCCACTCGACGGAAGGTTGATAATGTTGAGCCAGTGGGCCTCGCGCAAGTTGCGCAGCTTGGACGCCCAGAGACGAAAAGTCTCAAAACTGACTGCGTCCATCGTCACGAGATGCACGGTCAGCAAGTTCAAGCTCGGCAGCGGAGTGTCCATGAGCGCGTCCGGTGTTACCGAGAAAGCGCCGTACGTCAACACCAGCTCTTCGAGGAGCGACATCTGGCCGAGGAACGGGACAAGCCAGTTGAGGTTCTCAAAGCCACTGGCGTCGAGATAGTTGACTTTGGCGAGATCGAGGAGAGCCATAAAGTCACGGATGTCGCCGCGGAAGAGTGCGGGCTCCACGTAGAGCTGCACCGCCTCCACGTGGTGCAGCGGTTTGCCCAAATTGATAAGCGCCTCCGAGGCGTTCAAGCCCAGGGTTGTGACCGACGTGGCCGCCGCGAGAATGCTCGCCAAGGCGTTTGCGCTGGCTGCCGAGCTCAAGGCGTGGAGCATAAGGTGTGTGACGCGCCCTGCCTCGAGGTGCTGCGCCAATGGCTCGAGCAGCGGGTCGATCACGTGTTGCAGGAGAGCGACAACTTGCAGACGCTGGGCGGCAGCAGCGTCGTGCGGAGGTGAAACACGTCAGCGTAGACTTCCGAGAGCTGCGTGCACAAGGGCACAATGCCTCTAAACTCGGGCTCGTCAAACCACGCCACGTCTTTCGTGTCGACCATCTTGAGCTTGGACGGCAAGGCGGCGAGGAGGGCCGGGAGGTGACGGTCGAGCACACTGTGTCTCGGCGGCAGAAGCAAACCTGGGATCGCAGGCAGTGCGACGTAGACGAGGTCCAAGTGATCTTGCGAAACGGCGCTCATGTCCACCGTCGGCCACTGGCCGTCAAACGCCATGGGCGTCGTCATGAAGGTGCGCAGTGCGGCCAGCGGCGCGCAGAGCTCGGCCGGTGGCACCGCCATGAGCAAGGCCGCCACGTCCTCCTGCGACTCCACGTAGCCCATGGCCGAGTAGAGGACCGCGGCCGGAATCGCCGTCGGTGGCACGAGCTTTTTCTTCTTGTCCATGTTGCAGCCGCGTTGACAATGCCAAGCCCGCCGCTGGATCCGATTTAAATACATCTCGCATCTCTTACATACCAAAAACAAGCTATACAATAAACAATACCATGCACGCCGGTGATTGGTCCATTTTTCGAATCCGGAGCCGCTCGATTCAAACGTGGCAGCAGCAGGTGCAAGCACGAGTCGGCGACGCCACAAGACGCTATAGGGTCGTACGGTATGACGCCCAGAGCTGGTAAATCATTGACGGACTCGGTACTGCCCGCGAGAAAGCCATTTGGTTGCATTTGCCACGCTGTTCAGCTGCTGGCGAAGGGCGATGGCAGCCAAACCTCAGTAGCTGTCATGGTGGCGGCGAAATACGAGCCATGTTCCCTTGAAGACACCATAGAGTGCTCGTTATTTTTGAAGGGACTTGACCTACTAGGCGGGATTCGGAGAAAATCACTGATCGACAGCGGCATCGAGGTTGCATGATTGACATGTAGTACACATTAGCAAGCCCTTGACGCAGGTAGACACTCATGTTCAATTCGTCATCACAGTCAGCGCGTATGAAATGATATGCAAGCGAGGGGTGCGTCACTCCGCCGATGTCAACTCGACAACATCATGCATGCCATCTTGCAGGATAGTTGACCCTTGGTCGGCAGCACGGTTTTGGCTCTGCGGGTCGACCTTCCAGCGGAGAGAATAGCACCAAATGCATGACATAGGTGCTTTATAAGCTTTACGCACCATTCACCCATCCGTATGTCTTGTTTAATTCCCCACGAGCCACGCCGCTCGACCGATATAGGTGCGTATTTCGAAATAAAATAAATTGCAAGATACAACCAGCAGCGGCCGCGTCATAAAATGAGCGCGATGCAAAGAACCGGCGCCGCGTGGAAGTCACTGCGTTTTTGTATACTATACAAACGCTGCATCGCACCCACGATACGAACAACCAAGATACGTCAGAGCAGCAGCATGTTCGGTCGACTGGCGCAGTGGCTCCTCCCGACCGCGGCCCCGAACGACGAGCACGCCAAGGACCGCTACGACCTCCTCGTGCGTCGACCTACCGCTTCCAGCGTCTCATGCGACCTCCTTCGTAGGCCTCGCTGAAGAAGGCCGTCATGGACGTCTGCCACTGGCACGAAGAAAAGGCCAAGCTCGAAACGAGCGGCAAGACGATCGTGCTCGAGGAAGACGACATTGGCGTCTATGATCTGTGTCGCTGCATCCAAAGCTGCCTCAACCACGGGCTGCGCCATGGCCACAACGACGCGACGGCCTCGTGCTGGCCGCTCGTGCACTTTGTCGGGACCGCCGTCGCCGAGGCCAGCGCGCCGGTCGCAGGCACGATCCGCGAAGCGTCGCGGCTGTCGTCGACGGACGCAGGCAAGTCACGCGTCTGGCTTCGCCTCGCGTTGAACCAAGCGAACCTCGAAGCCACGATCGCAGTACGAAGAGCGATGTCTCCTCTGGCATCTCACACATGCGTAGCTCATTCTCGCGCTCGACACGGAGCAGTTTCTCCGCGCCAGCTGCGAAGACTGGGCCTTGCTGCGCTGCGCCGAGGGCGCGTCGATCTTTGTCCAGCTGCTCACGTACCTTGGCGACTTGCATTTTCGGATCCCGATCTCGGATCTCGAGTTTGCTCGGCGCCGCAAGAGCCAACCCCGCGTCACCATTGCTCTCGACGCCGCCGCCGCACCCAGCGCCCTTGACAACATGGACCTGCTCTTTGAGAAGGTCGAGGCGCTCGTCGACGACGTGGCGAGCCAAGGTACTCGTTCGCCGGAGCGCCGGGCGTCGCGCTCTACCGCGCTTCTTGTAGCCGACGAGTACTTTTCGGCCGCGGCCCGACGTCTCTCGGACAAGAAAAAGGTACCTCTTTGCTATATCCCGAATTGTATCAACTTTGTATCAGGGTATCAAGCCGTGGCAGCACGTCTTTAGCGTCGAGCTCTCATTTCTCGTGCGCAACCCGTACCACACCAAGTGCGCGTTCATCGACCCGCACCTCGCGATTCCGAATTTCGTGGTCGAGTGCCTCGAGTACATTGCATCGCACGCGTCGACACCGCGACTCTTCCGCACGACCGTCTCGCAGGTCCAACCCTATTCTCCCGATGCAATAGTCCAACATGTCTATATCTTGTAGGTCTACGTGGCGCCGGTGAAAGACTACATCGAGTTCCACGGGTGCCTGCCCAAGCAACCCGACCCCCACGTGGTCTCGGCGATCCTAGTCGAGTTCCTCCGACACATTCCCGAGCCGCTCATCACGTCCGAGCGCTACGACGCCTTCGTGACGGCGTCGCGCATGCCAGACGAAGGCGACCGCGTCCGGAACCTCGCCTGTCTCGTCGCCGACCTCCCAATCGAGTGCAAGATCGTGCTCGAGCGGGTACGCCTGTCGCTTCGCTTCACCTCGAGCACGGATATGCAACCTGCATACCCTAGGTCTTTGGGGTCCTCGCGACACTCCTCGAGCCAGCGCACGCAGCGCTCAATGGCCTCAACGTCGTCGGCCTCTCGATTGCGCTGGCGCCGGCCATCGTCCGGAAGCGCGAGACGCGCGAGAATAAGCTCCAAATGCAGTCGCAGGAGGTGCGCATGGCAGCGATCGGCGCGCACGTCGTTGAGCTCATGCTCTCGCACCACGAGACGATCTTTGCGTCGGTTCGCAGCACGATTCAAAAGGCGACGCAGGTCCGTTGCTCGTCTTCTCAAACCCGCAAGCTCGAACGCTACGCACTAGGATTTCGAGATCAAGCAGCGCTTTCTCGCAAGCTTTGCACCGCTCGTCAAGCAGCACCCGGTCGTTGGCAACGTGGACGATGACGCAGCGCTGGAGACGATCTGGCACTGTATGAAGCGCCACCGGTCCCAAGTGCAGACCATGGAGGAGACGGAAGCGCAGGCCAATACGTCGCGGCGGCAAAGCGCGGTCGTACGCAACGAGATGCAGCAGCACCTGCGCGACGAAGACAACAACCAAGCCAGTGCGACTTGTGTATCTTGCCTCGGCATCTGAACGACCGCCGTGTTTAGACGAGGACGACGAGAACGACGGGATGGTCTTTGAAGAGGTTCCGCTGCTGACGAGCGCGGCGACGGACGATGTCGCGCTCTGGCAAGCGTACGGGTTCCACGCAGCGCGCGTCCTTGACAACTTTCAGAGCGGCGGCGTCCTCCTCCTGCGCTGCCTCGCGTACTACGTGCAGCACGACCCCAAGGCGCTCGAGGTTCACCGTTCGTGTATCGCTTCTCGATGGTACAACGTTTGTGGCTAGCACTTGGCGGCGTGCGCGCGCCGGACGCCACCGCGCGCGTACAGTGCGCTCACGGCGAGTGCGGCCATCGTCGCCGTGCTGCTGAACGCGCTCAAGCTGGCGCCGACGCCGTCGCACCCGACCATCGACTTTACGCTCCTCTCGATGGAGCCGTTCTGGGAGATCCTTGCGGACCACGTCTTCTTCTACCGCATGTTTGGGCTTGCGCTCGAAATGTTCGAGTACCAGTATACGTTCACGCACGACTTTGGCCGCGTCCTCGAAGAAACCATTGCGCAGCTCGAGTGGCTCTTGCACCGGTCGCCGTCGTCGATCGACGACATTATCGACGACTGGAAGCTGTACCGGAAGACTGCGATCTCGTCGCGTCAGAACTCGATAAGCAACATGCTCGCGGCGATCGCAACGCCCGAGGCGGCGGTGACGATGTCAAAGGCGCTCGACTTTAACCGAGCGGCGATGGCGCAAAAGCTCCTTGGCGACTCGAAGATCCTCAACATTGCGCACATTGTCGAGATCGACGAGGTGCTGCCGATCACGTGCCAGCTCTGCAAGTGGAAGCTGCTCTACAGGTATACGGTATTTCTTCCTCTAGACCATAGGATCCATGTCGTGGATAGCACAGACGTCCACGGCTCGTCGCTCCAGTCGCTTCTCATCCTTGCCAAGGCGCAGGTATGTGGTGTGGTGTCCATACCCAGGTGATTGACGTGGATGGAGCGGTGTAGAGTCCGACGCTTGTAGTGGTCCAAGACGACCAGAATGTGATTTTTGGCGGCTTTGCGTCAGACGAGTGGCACCATGCGCTCAACTACTATGGCAACGGCGAGTCGTTCCTCTTCAGCTTTGAGAACGGCGCGAGCGTCACCAAGTACCCGTGGAGCCGCAAGAACAACTACTTTCAGCTGTGCTCGGAAGACGCGCTCATCATGGGCGGCGGCGGCAGCTTTGGCCTCTACCTCGTACGCATCTATATCCGCAGAGTGCTTGCCATCACCCATTGAACTAGGATGGCGACTTGCTGCAAGGCTCGACCGGCGCCTGCGACACGTTTGCGTCCAAGCCGCTCGTTGCCCGCGAACGCTTTGTCGTCACCAAGCTCGAGCTCTGGGGCTTCTCGGCCACGTGATTGTCTTCTTGAATATACATATCGATGTACCGCTGCTTACACTTGGGCGGTTTGGACTTCGATGAGGTCGGTGACCACGTCATGGAAGGGCTCGAAGTGGCGGCTGATGGCGCTGTTCTCGTCCTTGTCAACCACGCTCTTGAGCAAGCCCTTGGCCTGTTCCCAGGCAGGCGACTGCGCAAAGAGCGTCGTGAACTTGTCGAGGAGCAACCCGGCCAGTGCGTCCATCTCGCGGCCGTCGGGGTCGGACGACGCCCACGCGTAGAACAGCACGACCTGGAAAAGGATGTTCTCTGTTGACGCCATGTGCAGCCGCATTGGCGCTGGCGACGACGGGCCGAGGTGCCCGGGCGACGTGGCGTACAGCGGCGACGCGAGGCCGCTGGACGGCGTGGGCGAGACCGAGTGGAACGACCCGGTCGAGCTGTGCGGACTCGCGTACGGCGTCGAGCCATACGTCGACGAGCGCGACTGGAGCAGCGACTGCCGCAGAGATGTCGACGTTCGCCGCGTCGAGGCTGCTACGGTCGTCTTGGGCAGCGCCGGAAGGCCAAAGTGGGCAGCCCGGATGGGGCCGCCGTCAATCTCGCGGGCAAACTGCGAGAAGCTATGGACGAGCGACCGGAGGCCCTCGGCGCGCGCGTCCTCGTGCCAGCTCCAGCGCTTGGCGAAGAGCACGACGCAGCTCCCGACCTCGAGCACTTGCATGTACGCGACGCGCTGGTCCATATCTCGTCTGGATCCAAAACGCACCTGAATTGGAAAGGTGCACCGATTGCAGCGAATACGCACCCGTGGCGGGAAATAAATTTATTGCAACCTTATTTCTTGTTGTTACTCTTTCGTCGTCTGAGCGTTGATGAGGACAGGGCTCGAGAGCAAGAGGAGCAGAGTGCGGAAGAGCATGTCGAGTTGAATGGGTCAAAGCGGGGCAAACGAGATCTGAGATCTCATCTTGT